TACCAACCTGAATTACATGCCCAACTCTGGCATGACTCTTAACGCTTCCAGAGAGACCTCTGATAGTCTGTATCAGTCAGAATTCTCCAAAGGAACAGAAACAGTAGGATGCATAGATAGGGAGCAACATTTATTTTAAGGAATTGGCTCACACAATCACGGAGGCTGGCAAGTCCCAAATCTGCAAGGTGGGCCAGCAGGCCCAGGAAGAGCCGATGCTGCAGTTCAAATCCAAAGGCCATGTGCTGGCTGGATTCCCTCTTGCTTCATCCACCTTTTGTTCTATTATGAACTTCAGTTGATGGGATGAGGCCCCAATGCATTATGGAGGGCAATCTGCTTTACTGAAAGTCCACTCATTTAAACGTAAACCTCATCTAAAAACATCCTCCCGGAAACATTCAGAATAGTGTTTGACGAAACATCTGGGCCCAGTAGAGGGTGGAGGCGGAGGCAGCCAAATTGACACATAAAATTAACTATCACACAGTCTAACCAGGAATGATCACGCTCATTAAAGAAAAGCCCAAGTGGGGAGGGTATAGCTCAGGGGTAGAGTGCGTGCTTAGCAGGCTCCAGGTCCTGGGTTCAATCCCCAGCACCTTTGCTAATAAATAAATAAACCTAATTACCTTGCCCCCACTTTTCCCCCCCAAAACCCTGAAGCCCAAGCTCTCTTCTCTACGTGAGGCCTTAGGCCAAGCCCACTGGCTGAAATCCATAAACCAACCTGGCTCATAATCCTAACAACCACTGTTGTCTGGTTTCACAAACGTGGGCAGATGAGAAATGAGAGAAGAAGCTGGAGAAAGTGAGGACCTGCTGGACACAGATGCCAGAACAGTGAGAAGGGACAGCTCACAGCCTGACAGTAAGGAGGAGACAGAAGATCTATAAAAAGTAGACAGAAGAACTATAAAAGCTCAGCTGCCCAGGGCCTTGAGTGTTGGTGTGAACTGTTCTGCCGGACTCTGGGTCTCTAAATAACACATTCGGATTAGCTGTTAGAAGGGGTTGGATGGAAGAAAAGGGGCCATTTTTAAGGATGGGGAAGGGGGCATAATAGTCACTAGCTGATACGCATTCCCTCCCCTCCAGCCCTCTCTCGTGGATGGGCAATGCTGAGGTTTTTTTTAATTGAAATATAATGGAGCTAAAAAAAAAAGAAAAAGAAATATAATTGAGATAGTGTTCCCTTCGGCAGCACATATACTAAAATTGGTAGAGGATTAGCACGGCCCCTATGCAAGGATGACACGCAAATTCGTGAAGAGTTCCATATTTTTGAAAAGCAATATATATATGTATATGTAAACATTATGCTGTACACCAGAAATTGACACAATATTGTAAACTGACTATACTTCAATTAAAAAAAAATATATATATATATAATTGACCTAAAACTCTGTTAGTTCCAGGTGTATCACATAGGGATCTGCTATTCCTATACATTACAAAATAATCACCACGACAGATATATCTAGATACCATCTGTCACCATACAAAATTATCATCTATTATTGCCTATATTCCCCGTGCTGCACATTTCATCCCTGTGACTCATTTATTTTGTAGCTGGAAGTTTGTAACTCTCAATCTTCCTCACATATTCCGCCCCCTACACCCGGCAACCACCTGCTTATTCTCTTACACCCTTGGGATAAATCCCACTTGATCACGATGTAGGATTTTTTAAAATGGACCATGGAATTTGGTTTGCTAATATTTCGTTGAGGATTTTGGCATCTGTGTTCATCAGTGACATTGGCCTCTAACTTTCACTCTCGATGGTGTCTTTGTCTCGTTTTGGTATCAGGCTGACGTTCGCCTTATAGAATGAGTTTGGAAGTGTTCATTCCTCTTCAAATTTTTGGATTAGTTTGAGAAAGATAAGTGTTAACTCTTCTCAAAATGTTTGGTAGAATTCACCTGTGAAGCCATCTGGTCCTGGACTTTATATTATTGGGAATTTAAAAATGACTGATTCAATTTCACTACTGGTAATTCGTCTGTTCATATTTTCTATTTCTTCCTGATTCAGTCTCAGGAGATTGTTTCTAGGATTTATTTGGGCCCTCTCTCTTTTTTTTTCCTTGATGAATCTGGCTAAAGATTTCTCAATTTTATTAAACCTGGCAGACAGCTGAAAACAAGAGTGTATAGACTAAAACAGCACAGCCAGAGGACAGTGGAAGCCCTAACCTGTATAGTGATAAGGGGAGGATGTGGGAGGCAGTGAGGCTAAGAGGTTGCTGGTCTCAGTGGTGGACAAGTTGTAATTGCAGCCATAACTATCATTAAGTGGTACTCATGCAACTCTGAAACTACCATCACTGCCAAGAGAGCTATCCCCAACCACGCCCAGGTTCCAAACAGGATTATCTTGCCAAGATATTCATCATCCATTTATCCATGCCACAGCTGTTTTTGAGTCTATTACTCAAGCACCTGATTTTGCGAGCAAGACAATCAAAGTAACTGCACTCCTGGACCTTACATTTGAACTGGGAAAGGTGACATTAAACAAACAGTTATATCTGTAAACATATAATAACCAGCCACACAAAGGGCTATGATGGTTGTGAGGAGAGTGCTACAGAAGGAATGAGAGAGACCTCGTTTCGATCTGAAGAGAGTGTGTAGGTGTGCAAGTTCATGGGTGAGACGCTGGCAAGGGTAGGCTCTTGCAGGGCCTTGAGGCCACCACTGGGACTTTGGATTCTCACTCACTCATTCCTTCCTTGAACATTTCCCGAGAATTTTCTGCAGGACTAGGCCATATGCAGTCAGTAGGGACACGATGATTAATAATGGGGATAATAATAGTGGCCAATAGTCATAGAGTGCTTACCACTTGCTGTTAGAACTATTGTTTGAGGCACTTTGACGCCCCAACCCATTCAAGCCTCCCAGCAATGCTTTGGCCTCCTCGATACCACTGTTGTTCTCGATTGACAGAGAGGGAAACTGAGACCTGAAGAAACTAAGTAATTTTCAAAATCAGACAACCACTAAGTGGGAACACACAGTCTGACTTCAGCGCTCTTAGGCATTTATATTCTTTAAAACATTTTAAAAATTAATTATTATTTATTATTTTTAATAGAGGTGCTGGGGTTTGAACCCAGGACCTCGTGCATGCTAAGTATGCACTCTGCTGCTGAGCTATGACCCACCCCTCGGCACTCATATCCTTAACCACTATGATTTACTGCCTCTTGTCTAAGATTGGAGGACAGTTTGGTCATTGGAGCCACCAAAATAATGCCTCAGATGTAGGCAACTAGTTAAGAGAATTTCCCAAACTTGGCAGATCATAAGAACCCCTGGGGGGAGTTAGGAACAGATCCTCATTCTGGAGATTTAGACGTAGTTTAGTGTGGTTGCTTTTTGCTGGACAGATCCTAGTTTGGCTGGGTGGCTGCTTCACTACTTTCCTGGACGTGTGTCACCTTGTGCGAACCATTTCACCTCTCCGGGCATCCGTCTCCCTTTCTGATAAATGCAGCTAATGATAGCACCTTCTCCTAGGGCTGTTCAGTGGAGTAGGTGAGCTGCTTTGCAAAGTGCTTAGGGCAGTGCCTGATGCTTAGTGAGCGATGATGTCAGTAACGTGTTACCCAGCAAGGGCTCATGTGCCCGCACACAGAAAGCCAAACTCTGACACGGAGTGTTTGCAGCAAAGTCAGGGTTTATTTGCAGGGTGCCACCAAGGAGCTCGCCATTGGCTTTCAGGCAAGGGTTTTTTGTTTTTGTTTTTTTGGTCTGTTTGTCTGTTGTTTTGTTTTGAGGGGGAGATAATTAGGTTTATTTACATATTTATTTATTTAAATAGAGGTACTGGGGATTGAACCCAGGACCCCATGCCTGCTAGGCATGGTAGACACCGAGCTATACCCTCCTCCTCAGGCAAGGGTTTTTAAAGTTTTTAGGGGAGAGGGTCTTAAGATGCAGCAAGTAGACTTCGTTCTGATTGGTTGGTGGTAAGGCAACATGTAACAGTTTCTGGAATTTCAACCTTCTGGTTCCAACTAGTCTGGCGTCTCTCTGCTTGTGTTCAGCTTGTAGGGGTTGTAGTTTCTACAGAACAACTCAAAGATATGCATCAAGTTGTTATCTACATCCCTTCAGGAGGTACCAGGAATCCTGTGACTCTGTTGTCCTGATCTTTAATTGCTTGAGCCTGCTCTCTGGAATTTAGGGAAGGCCTAGAAGGCTAAAGCCTTTTTTTCCCTACAAACAAGAAAAGGGGGACATGGAGGAGCTTTTACACCTGGGAAGGCCTGATAGGGTCCTGCTTGATTTCAGCAACCCCCCCTCCCCCGGCCCCATGCCTTTGATGATTTTCAGTCCTGAGGTAAACAGGGGCGGGACATGAAAGAGAATAAAATTTTAGATAGAGAGATTAATCGTAAACTCAGTAGGGAGTTCAGCTTTTGCGGGACTTGGTTTCAAATGGACCTATGATTAAGTGAGTCAGGTGTCAGAGATCACAGCTGGTGGCTTGGAGGAATGTCCTGCCCCTGCCCTTCAAGGACAGGACAGGGCCAGGTCCTCTTGACTTTGACGCAGGGTTCCCAGATAAAACAACAGGCCTCCAGTTAAACTGTTATTTCAGATAAAAACAAAAATTTCAGCATAATCTTCTCCCAGTACTGCATAGGTCACACTTGTCATTCATTGTTTATCTGAAATTCCAATTTAATGGGCGTCTTGTACTCTTCACTTGTTAAATCTGGAAACCCTGCTCTTCGGGAAGGGCTGCCCCTCAGCCCCTAGCCCAAAGGCCCTGCTGCAAGGAGGGCCCAGACGAGCGGCCTCCACCCGCCAGGGGCCCTAGTCGATCCCAGAGGGGCCGCTTACGCTTCCGCCCTGCCCGGGCCAGCACTAGTGGCGCCCCGAGTGACCGAGCCCTGCGCGCCCGCCCACGCCGCCCGCCACGGAG